GGAAATTCCTTGGGCCGGGATCAGTCGGAGGCGCCTTCATCCTCCCCCTCCGCCCCCCCAACACCTTTCCCTGCCCCCCACTTTCATTCCTTTTCCCCCCGTGCCCCTTGGTTCCCCTGTGCCCCACAGCCGAGCCCCCCCGACACCACCTGCCCCCCCACTAGCGCGCCTGGGGGTCTCAGGGGGAGCACCCAGAGGGTCACCAGGAGGACCCAGGATCCCGGTGGTGGTAGGGAGCAGAAGCGGAGGCGCAGCAGCGGGGATGATCCCTGGGAGCTGTAACTGGGAGAACTGGAAGGTCCTGGGAGATGGGAACTGGGAACTGCGTGGAGGTTTTGAGTGGGAGATACAGGAAAGTGTTAACTGGGAGATGGGAACTGCGTGGATGCTGTAACTGGGATTTGCTGGGAACTGGTGACCGGGAGCAGTGGGGATACTGGAACTGCGAACTGTGTGGAGTCTGTAACTGGGAGATACTGGGAGATACCCTGGGACTGTACTGGGGCTACTGGGGGCTGTGACGGGGGGGTCCGACAGGAGTGGGGGGGGGGGGGGATGCAGCACGGGGAGCTGCTGGGCCACTGACTGGGTGTACCGGGTGTAACTGGGTGTACTGGGCAGTACTGGGATGGCCCTGGCACACCCCAGCCACCACGGTCCCACCCGGGCTATTTTTAGCCCCGGTGGCCACCGCGGGCGGCTCCGGGGCTATTTATATCCCCGGGGAGGGGGGGGGACACACAAACACAACCCAGGGGGACAATGACAGCGGTGCCATCGGTCCCCGGAGCACCCAGGGGTCTCAGGAAGGACCTTGGGGTCTTTGGGGAGCACCCGAGGGTCTTGGGGAGCACCCGGGGGTCTCAGGAAGAACCCAGGGGGCTTTGAGGAGCACCCGAGGGTCTTGGGGGAGCACCCAGGGGTCTCAGAAGGGACCCTGGGGTCTTTGGGGAGCACCTGAAGGTCTTGGGGTGCACCCAGGGGGTCACCAGGGAGGACCCAGGAGTCCAGGGAGGACCTGGGGGACTTTGGGGAGCACCCAAGGGTCTTGGGGAGCACCCAGGGGTCTCAGGAAGGACCCTGGGGTCTTTGGGGAGCACCCAAGGGTCTTGGGGAGCACCCAGGGGTCTCAGGAAGGACCCAGGGGGCTTTGAGGAGCACCCGAGGCTCTTGGGGTGCACTTGGGGGGGGTCAGCAGGGAGCACCCAGGAGTCTGGGGAGAACCCAGAAGTTCAGGAGCACCTGGGGGTCTCCAGGGAGGACTCAGGAGTCCAGGAGCACCTGGGGGGGTTCTGGGGGGGGTCCTCAGGAATTTGGGGGGCATCCT